GCTATGAGCTTGCTCTTGTAGCTTTATGAGTTAAGAATTTCTGCAAATATTAAAGTTTCCTTGTAGCATAGAAGATAGTTGGAGCATATGAAGCAGTCACTGTCTCACATGCAATCTTCTTTCTGATGGGTAAGGGATCTAGCATTTATAATGTGATTCAAGAATGATTACAGACCTTGATGATCATATAGCTACTTTCTTAACTTTCTTGCTGCTAGAGAAGTGTCTGGACAACAGATGAGTCTTATCCTGCTGCAAGTAAGCTGGAGAATTGCTCCCGTTTCATTGCCTGAATAGTCGCCATTTTGTTGCAATCACGCCCACATCAATGAAAAATTTCATCAGAATACAACCGCATTAGATCATTGACATTTAAATAGATAGTAGTGCACACGTTGGGTGTGACCAGAATAGGCGTGACTGAAGACGTACGTACGTACATACATACATACATACATACAGAAGAGTCTCGCTTAAGTGGGGCTCGCTTTTGCTCGCCCCAACTAGGCGAATGTAGAACATTGAAGGGGCGAGCACAAGCTAGCATGGCAATATACAATGTTTAGATGTCACAAAGGCTAATGTTGTTGTCAAATTGTAAATTGAATGATATGCAGAGCAGCTCAGAACTTGTGACTTGCATGCAAGGAAATTTTATAGCTTGCTCTTCTAGCTTTATTAGCAGTGAAGAATCTCAGTTGTAACTTTAATAAGTATAATTTAATTTTTACTATGATATTTTCAAGCACAGTACTTTTAGACTCTCTTTTCTCTGATGAGCCATTTGATGTGCTTTTATATTGTCATTCAACCATAATTAATAAAAACTTGAAGATTTATGTGTGTTTTCTTGAATTTTCTCTGCTGATGAAGTGTCTTGACAAGAGATCAGTCCTATGTTGCTGCAAGTAAGATTGGCTAAGGTAGGTGCCATTTTAATTTCATTGCAACCACACCCACATCAATGAAAATATTTCATTAGAATGCTACCGCATTAGATCATTGATTTTTAAATAGATATTGTGCACACATGGGGTGTGACCAGAATAGGCGTGACCAGAATAGGCGTGACTGGAGACGTACGTACATACATACATACATACATACATACGGAGGGAGGGAGACTTCGCCTGAGTGGGGCGAGCTTATGCTCGCCCCAATGAACATAGTTTGATAGTATCAGTGATAGTTCTAAGAGATAGGGAAATTAGTACATGATGACAGCTCAGCTTTTATAACTCAACTAATTAACAAATGAATCAGCAAGTATCAGCAAAAATAATAATAAACAGAACAAAATGAAATACTATAGACAATCATCCACTAACTAATTATTGACAATATTTATCTCTAATGTAACTAGCAATAGGTTTCTCTTCTATTGTATCCAGTGCTGTGGCTAATGATGACCAACTGGGACCTCCTTTCTCTCTCACTCCATCTTCTCCTCTTAACCAGGCAGACATACACTCACGGAAACACTCCACTGTCTTTCCTCTACAGTCAGTATCTATAGCCTTTAGTCTAGGGTCATATAATCCTAAATGAAGTCCAAACTGATACCATTTAGTACAATCCAATTGATTGAGTATTGTTAGCTCTTCAATGATAGTAACAAGATCTTTAATATCTATAAAAATAATAATTAATAATGTGTATATACACTGTACAGTCTACACTGCCATTACTTGACAATTGTGATAGTACATATTATAACATACCTAGCTTCATTGGAGTCAATGGTGTCTTCAATTCTTCAGTTATTTCAATCACTTCCTATACAATAATAATAATAATAACTGATATTTTTCACTGTGCTTGTTTATCAAGGTGATATACATCAGTAGTGCATTGCTGAAAGGTGAGTTTAACAGATGTACAAGTATATATTATTAGTAGTAAAAGCCGCACAATTACAACCCACAACTATGACAAAG